ATATGGATCAATAACACATATCTTCATAAAGTATTTCTCCATCTTTAATGTATATGGATCAATAACACATATCTTCATAAAGTCTTTCTCCATCTTTAAAACCTAATCATTGAACTTCTCTGTTTTACTATATGCTATAATTTCTAATTACTTTGAGGGTGGAGTAACTCTTTTGATTTGCTTCCATTTTTTCTTGTTGTTTATCTTAACATAATGACACTGAACTTACTTACATCCCTTGAAACTCAAGTAATGATACTGTAAATAGAATACATTAGAAAACTTGTAATGACGTGTTACCTTTACATAGTCCCATCTTCCGAGAACCTGTTTTGCCGCGTTTATCCACGGGTCATCAAACAAGATGTCCAGGAGACGATCTTGTGGTTTGGCGCTCACTTCTTGAAGACTGCAACAAACATTTTAACACTTTCTCATTGTATGTTATAAAGGATGTGTATGGAAAAAAAAAAGCCCCAATAAATACTAGCCAAACTGTCAAAATAAGTCGCAAAACAAACAACTTTGAATTACACTTATCAGCTACACAGATAGTGTGGTGGGAGAACCAATAGATAGACAACAAAACAGCACATAAGGGCATGAAAAATTCGGCCCTAACTGGTTCTCTAACCTCAGTTCAGATTCCAAGGAGACAATCTTTACCATTACACCTGGTACAACAAGATTGAAATATCTTCAAACTAAAAGGTTTAATGTGATGTTAATAAATTATAAGCTACACGAGTTGTTGTTCTCATCATACGGATAACAAGGGCTCTGTATATAATAAGATAATGCAATACTTAATTATTAACAGATCATTAAATTATTTTTAAACAAAGGACTAGTATATTGCTTCAAATTACGAAATGACATATCCTATTTGGAAGTATGTAGATGAAACATGCAACAGAAGCACTCTGTTTTGATGTATATATAGATATTACTAAGACAAATTTCAATTTTTATAGCCTTCAATCTTCTTTGTTTACAGAGAAATAAACTAGAAAGTCAAGCTCACCTGCCACATCCCTTCTTTCACAAATTGCTAGTAATTCTCTTTGACGTTTTAATTTATTTATAACCAAAAGAAAGGCAAAATTTTAATCTATCAAATAACATGTAATGTTATGTTTTCAATACAGAGTATTGTCTATTTTGTCTTCAGTTTCTTTTGCAGTGTTTTTTTTTTGGGGGGGGGGGTCCCAGATCTGGGAATGGGACAGGTATTTGGCCCCACTATATATATGTGTATAGTCACACACATACATAGTGAACTTAATATAAAATAAGCATTAAAAAGATTTTAGTAAAGAATCCATTGTTAATCCCAGTTGTCACCTTAAAGTCATAACAGATAATGCCTGTGGTAATAGCTCTTACATGTGTTGGGGATATCCCATCTACCAGACAAAATCCAAATGTTGATGTTAAACTAGCCAGCAAACATGGAAAATCAATTAAGGGTATGAAGTTGAGTGCTTACACCCACAACGTCTCAACTCCTAGTGCCTTTCATTGTCTGCAGCCAGTTGTGGGAAGGCAGTTACCTTTAAAAGTTCTTATAATTCCTACAGTAGAAATTAAACCACCCTAACATTTTTACTATATGCAACTCCCAAACTCCACCCTTACAAAAGAAATAAAATAATACATCTACACAAAAGATCTTAAATAAAATGAACAACTCAAAATGGAGAAACTTCCATTTTTCCAAAGAATCAATACAAATTGTTGACAGTGAAATTTATGAGAAACTTCAATTTTTCCAAAGAATTAATACAAATTATTGACAGTGAAATTAACCCAAAAACCTGGCATTTATCAACAATACGAAAATACGAGTTTATCATTACTGAAAAATGTATGGAAAACAAAATACTAGAAAGTAATCAAGCAGAAAAGACACTCATCCCCTGTGTAAAGTCACAGGACACATGTAAATTTCATAGTCTGACAATATAGCCCTTTCGTATGGCACATGACACGTGTCAACAAGTTAAAGTAATACTAAACAAAAATCTTCACCAATTATATTAAGCCTACATTTGAATTTATATATATATATATACACACACACACATATATAAGTTATAACACAAAAAAAAAACTTTAAAAAATACTAACCCAATAGCATATAAATCTGGTAGTTTTAAGGGATCTACAGGATCCAACAATCCCAGTGCGGGCCGAAGGTCTTCAATTGGGGGTCGTCCAACAACATTCCACGTTAACAAATAAACCCTGCAACAGATGGAAACAGTACAATAAAGAATTTTTAAACTAAAAAAAAAAAAAAAAGACAGGAATCTTAAAACAACCAATTAAAAACAAATACATTAGTGAGAACAAGATGGAAGGTATAAGAATCTTAAAACAACCAATTAAAAACAAATACATTAGTGAGAACAAGATGGAAGGTATAAGAATCTT